ACAGAAAATTCGGTTCCATCAGGGAATATTATTAAGTTAGTCAACCTTGGAGAATCGGAAAACGGAGAATTCTAACATGAAAAGGACAAAGTTTTGAAAGTCTTGTCAGATTAACAAAATTAACCGTGAAAAATAAAATCTCTTGATTAAACAACAGAATCAATAAGTCGGGAACGTTGACGAATCAGAGAGTTAGAAATTCAAACGGAAATGCTGCATTTACGTACAAGAAATATTTTCCGCTAAATCAGTAATAAAATGCTCGACATTTTCATTTAGCGAACATAGCAAGAGTTACTCATTGTTTTAATCAATTGAATGAGGGGAATCAATTAAGTCCACTTAACCAATAAAAAAGGACAGAAATTACCTTATTTGCTAGGTAGGCATAGAGACTGTGATTGCACTTTCCAGCGCAATCACGACGACATTCCGCGAACACTTTGAACTTTGCTGGGTGAGGAAATAGGAATTAAATAAATAAGCATTTTAAGACATTGTGCATATTACCTAGAAGACTTCCATTCACAATGGCTGTTTATTGGATTTACTGGGAATGTCGCCATTTTTATGTGGGTGTTTTGAATTTCGTCCGGACAGGTTCTTACTTGTATAAAAACTCGAACATTTCACACTTACCTAGTAAGCATTTTACGTGAGGTCAATAAACAATTGAAATCCTTTTCAGAAATAAGTGCCTGTGGGTATTTTTGCAATTTCAAAAAGTTGCGACTTGCTAAAGGAAGTACGGGAACGGAACACAATAATGTCTTATCGCGAAGCAAATTTTAATATCTACTTAATTCATATCGGCTCTGTTTTAGCACTGCAACAACACCAACACAATCTTAGAAAGGCTTTCACTTCCAAATATTGTTTCAATTTGCTGGTAGTCTTTCAAATTTTGCATCTTCTTCACTTTTTGTAAAATATTGAGGATGAAGAGGTTTACTTTGTTGTCAAATCAATGCAATAGTTCAATAGCTCAAAGTAGATCAAGAAGGGAATGCTGTTGGATTAATTTGCAGAGAAGCTCCGAGCTGGTAGGCGATATTGGTCTCTAAAATGTGCTAAAGTAAGGTAGCTGAAAGGCAAAAATCTATAGCGACGGGAAATAGTGTTGAATTAAAGAGGCAGAACTGCTGTGCGATCGCGTAAGTTGTCGCAAAATTTTGTCTAGAAGATCACACTTCTGTAAAAGAAGTGGGTGGAAATACGTCATTTCATAATTCCTATAACTCAGGGAGGAGCTTCGTTGATTCGCTAATCACATGGAAACGATTCTTTGTCCTTCCCGAGGCAGGAAATACTAAGAATACTCTGAGGACTTAAGCTTTAAAAGATCAGGTTCAACTTGACGTCATTGTAACTAGAGCATTGGTTACCTGTGTTGAGTCCAGTTGCCTAGGCGTCTAAATTAGATACTGTATGGCCATTATCAAATATATTTATAGAGAAATGGAGCTTCAACGATAGCAAAAATACCGATTAAGGCATCAAATAAACAAGATTTCATGAATATTTTGAAAGATAATTAAATAATTTGGTCCACTTAGCGCTGGTACTCACTGGAATGCCGTCGGGGCATCTTGTAGACAATTTGCGATTGATCGGATTGATATCCCTGTGGCGTAATCATGTAAGCTGATGTCGATGGAGAGGCAAAAAGAATCAATTCCAGAACCAGACAGGTTAAAACTATTGAGACTAACTTAACTACCATGACAGCTAGTTCTGGTCTCAGCATTGTTGCCCGAGGCATTTTAAATAGGTGCGCAAAAGTTACGGCCGTTCGGGTGAACCAATCATCGGACGACCAAATTCCAAATGGCTCCACACGCTTGCACGCCCTTGCAGATGCTATGCGCGTCTCCGGCTATTAATCACTTTGACTGAAAATAACAATTATTACATCATTTTGACTTGGAGTTTGCTTTGTGCCTCAGAGATGGGAGTGATTGCTTTTTCAGTCGGATTGTTAAATGGCTGCATTTTTTCCGGTAAAACTTACCCCTTCAGGTTCGGTTTACAAAATACCAGAGATCCAAACTTGGTAAAAGCACTATCTTTGAAAATTAGATAAATAAAGGGCACCTTTTTTTCCTAATCCACATTTATTAGAAATAAACATGTCAGCCGATCTAAAAGTTTGCGGAACATCTTCATTCTAATTTACTCCTCAAGAGCGAATCAAAGAGCAATTAATCGACAAACTAGTTATGTAGATGAATCAACCTAGTTGACAAGCTGGTGAAATATCTTTTAAAGCAGATTTTATCAGATTTCTTAGTATGTTATTTCTCAAGCATCTTCTTCAGCGCTTAATTAAAGAGAGTTATAAAGATGACATTTAATCTGAGCATTTGGTCTGACATGTGAGCAGAACTAAAAAAAGAGATAAATGTCCATAATTATGAATAAATATGATAAACATTTTACCTCAAAGGTGGTAAGTCAAACAGACTACCAGACAGGCAGAAGGATCTAGAAGTGGCACATCAACCACAAGTTTTCACGTCCCCAAAATCGTCTATCATTCTGTTTGGCTTGGTTACCATGTGAATACAACACACTAACCACCCACAGAGTCTTCTCACCAGGTTTAAAACTGTCTGGTTTTATGTGTGTGGTTTTAGCCAGACACCTGCCTCTCGCCCATTAGAGACACGCGCACTCTCACTCTGTGTGTGACTGTCCGCTTCTGGGTTAGGCGATTTTACGTGTGGAGACACTACTTGGATTTCAATCGCACAGCCAAAGAAACACAAACATACGCACACAACTGTCGATTTTGTGGTCAGTTTTATTTGTATCACATTAAAAACTGTCCTATCATGCAACCACTTCCCACGAAAAACATGCAAATAAGAGGCACCGTCTCCGGAGTGGAACCTGACGGATTTTTCAAGAGAAAAGAGCAGTCAATGGGGTAGTGAGCTTTTCAGCCTCCGCATTTAGATCACTAAATTTGGCTCTCCGCTCAAGTACTTTCCAAGTAAACTAGATGAAGAGGACTGCACATCTTTAAATACTAAATCAGGTTCAAATGACAACGGGGTTAAAACCCACGTTTTATTAAACACTTTGCCCTTAGAAGAAAGAAAGCTCAACTTTGGCCATCTCTTTTTCTACCGCAGGTTGTAGTTTGCATTTGGTCATGTAAATGTGGAATATTGTTGCTAAAAGTGGGAATTAGCATTGGGAGTAGAAGAAGGCATTGTAAGAGGAATATAGAGAATGAGGTAGTAGTTCTCTTCCACCCCACTGGGTCCCAAAGCGTATATCTTCTCAAGAGTGAATATGGCGGTGGTATGTGACATAGGGTCTTGCGTAACCATGAAACAATATAGATGGCGCTTTCTTTCCTTCGGTTTATTAGTCCTGACCTTTTCCCAAAAGAAAACCCTTCTCTCATAGTTCGGAATCAAACCAGCTGTACCCTATTGAGTAGATAGATCTCAGCCATAACGGAAACTTTCCCCTTAGGAAAGTGGACAATTCCCAGTGCATTACACGCATACAAAATAAACACAGCACGTAGCTTACAAGTGGGTGGTGGATGGGGAGGCTGCTGATGGTCTGAGCGTAGAAAATGATACATTGATTCGCCTAATGAATGCTACACTATACGATCACAAATGCTATCTCTCATTACACGTCAATCAACCAGTCTGCCAGTGAGCAAACGATCCAAGATGCAGGGCACGTTATCAGTCATCTGATGTTGAAGTAAATAGGTGAGATCCACTTTTTAGCCTCCACGACTTTCGCTCCAAGTCGATGTAGATGTAAATCAATCAATTCGTCGTCATTTTACATCCGGCATTGCTGAAGATTTCAGTAAATACTTTTCCAAGTACTTAAATATATCAACAGCAACACATAATCCTTCATTGCTATCAAGAATAGCGGATATTCTCACCTTTACGTGCTGCATCAGTCTTGATTGGTTCACCACCACAATCAGATTACGTAATTTAAACCACTTAGTTGTGAGCGCTGCGTTGTTCTGCCGTGGAATGTCGCATCTTCCCCAACTGCTATACGGAAAAGTTGGGAAGAAGCCTCTGTAGCCTTGGAAGCTGGTTAAACTTGAATCATACCCACTCCACCCAGCCTACATTTGATGCGTCATTCCGTCCCACTCATATTATTCATCTAGAGTTTAGTTAGCACCTGAAATGCAGCCTTCTTTCAAAAATAGTTGCCAACACGGCCTATCCATCCTAGGTCGCCTAGTGTGCAAACACACATAAATGATTATGCTCACCATCCATCCAGAAAAAGATTCATTCCTTGGGCTAGTTTGTGAAAGAATATGACTTGATCAGGGGGCCGGGAGCAAGCATTCCACATGCTGGGTGTTCACAAGAGAGACTGCTTAGCGTTGGGATCATCTCTAACAAGGGCACAGCAGTCCTTAAAACATTTTTACATCGCCTAGAAGATCTTACCAATATGTGAATTAGGGTCCCATCAATGTAAAAAAGGCCCTTGTCTTCCTCCCACTTCCTATTTTGGTCACTATCTACTGTTTCTTAACTGATGATGACATGAATGGACTGGATCATGACACCCGTCAGCAATTATGAGTAGGAATTAGACACATTTGGCATTTACTACTCCGTGTAATGCCATCACTATGGCATGCCTATTTTATAGCTGCAAAACTAAATGCCCTGGTTTGGCATGAATCACTCTTGACTTCACACAGACTTGGTTATCGGTTCTTTTGTGCAAATAAATAATAAGCTTTTTTGCTCACAGCTGTACCACATTCCTTCATAAACCTCCCTCTGTATGACTGAAAACTATTCCTACTGCTTTGGCTGTCTGTGCATCGATATTTCGGTATCGCATTGACCGACCTTGCGCACTTCTAAGCTATTCAACCATTTCCGCATAAATGAATAACCTTTGGAAATCCAGTAGATGTTTCACTGACTTTTGAATCAATTTTCTTCTAATCTCAATAAAAAATCAATGTATTATCATCAGTCCTACGTCACTGGCGGTTTGAAAGCGCCCAAATATATCATGATAGGTGACGAAGAAGCGTAACCATGAGGACCACCAGGACCAACTATGTATCATAATGTCATGACATCTTCGTGCCTACACCCACCAGTATGCGCTGTTGCATCTGCAGTAATGCCCTGGGCTCTGTAGCCCAAACGTCCATCTTTCTAAAGGGTAACAAGGTGGAGGAGGGAGGAAGGGACGGAGAGAGACGTATAAATAATCCTCTCCCATGTCTCCTGTTCAAGTTCTCATAAATATGCATCTTGCGATTCACATGTTTGTGCATGTGAGATTCTAATTAGACTTCATTGGGGCACTGATTAATGGCTGCAATTGGTCGCTGATTGACCCGACATTTTTCCAGTGGCTACACGCATTCCCCCATATCTCAATCTCCTTACCAAGTTGACCTTATTAACCCTATAATATAGCATCGAGAGTAGACTGCTTTTCATTCCACCCGTGAGAAATACAGTGAACACTTGTCTGCTTCTTGACTAGAAAAAAGGAGAGGTGCTTTTCTAATCCGTTAGTAGGGGGCAATGCGCAATTACTACATAGGATGGGTAAGACCTGGTTGAGGATTAATTTATCCAACGCGAATCTACTTTTTAATAAAGTACCCTCTGTGAATCACGTTTAGGTCAAGCGAGTACTTTTTCGACATCGTGAGAAGGGATGTCACCGCGGTTGCGCTTATACACACCCCAGTAACACTCGTAATGGCTGGCGCACATTTTGCAAGCCACTCTAGCTTAGACACAAATGATAACACACGCTTATGCATGAAACTATGTGATGATGTATTTGCGAAAGGAAACGTAAAAGCCGAACCTGTGACTATCCATTCATACAAGCGACTTTAAGTACACCAGTAGCTGCTATGTTTGGTGTAGGCATTTTAAACACGCAACCACACGTCTATCACTGCAAAATTCCGGTGGTAGGGCTGCCTAGTCTACAGTGCAGGACGTAGAAAGCCAGCCAGATCTCAATTGATTAATCAGCGCGTAAGTGGCCTATCGCAGAAGTACAGTACAGGAGATGAACACTTCTGTGGCGACACATCCATCCAAAAAGTACAAAAATCAGTAATTTTATAGAGTATTGAAGTAAAGCAGACTGTCTTTAAGTCTTTTAGCTATGTCGAAAAATGTATTTGCACTCTTGGTAGATGTTATCCAAATGCTTGCTCTTTCCAAGATTTTAAGTTTGCTTTCTCACGTAAACACCAAATTCTCCATTTAACTTAAGGGTCAATCGTAGTGAGGCCTTTTGAACAATTTATTGAACTTTACAAATGAAGGTAAGGTGATAGAATGCATTTAGTTCTGAGTTCCAGTCATCCGTGCTTTCAAGGCTCCAGTTTATCTGCACGACGGTATTAAATTTCTTCTGCATTCATTGAACCCTTCCATTAGTGAATTCATTAAGCCCAATATCCATAAAATGAGTTGATGTATCTACACCAAAGAATCATAAATGACCCCTATTGGTATCGGATTTTATTTCTTTTCTAAAAAGTTCCTTTGTGAAAAAATTGACTGGATACATTTTGAGGCAGTAACAAGTCAGTGTTATCTGTGTGATTCGTAACTAGTTCAGTGGACGGATTGTTCATTAGCTAAGGCAAAAAAAAAATGCAAGCCCCGACATCAATTTGTGCATTTCCAGGTTGTTTGAAAATTTGACAAAATAAGCTACATTTTAACTAGCTACAGAGGGGCTCTTTTTTCTTCATATCTACAAATCTGCCATGTAAATAGTTTAAAGACGAAACCCTGTGGAGACTTTAGGACAAATAAAGAGACTTCAAAACAGTAGTCTTGATTACTGGCACGTCTGAGTAAGGCAAGAGTATGGGTACGGGCCTACTGGCCGAGGTGATGGGTTACCGACATATGCTAGCTGTCACCACTTTCATGCATGGCCTTCTGTTAAAATTTGCCCCATGTTATATTGACCAATTAGGAGAGAGTGATCGAGGGCACGGACATTGAAAATGCTCCAGAATGGTCGGAATTAGTGGCGCAAAAGAGAACTTCTGGAATATCGGAACATTAAAATTTTTCTAGGATTGTAGACAACTCCAGTAATATGACACCACTTGTCATTACTCTTTGTAAAACTGACTGATAATATTCGGAGCAAAATAAGCAACTTTTCAGAATGACCAATTTGGTTGCGAAACGATTTGCACATGCCGCACATGTTTGTGGCCCTGGGACCTGAGAAGGCGGTCATGAATATGTGACGCTGGTGATGAACCTGCTTTCATGCATATTACATATAAGCAATTTGTTGGTTAATCCCCGTAAAAGGTGAAGAGGAACACATTGTTCACTGTCCTGATGATCCACTGGTGAAAATGCCTCTTATATCGTCTCCTTCGAATCAACATTACTTCCAGCCATTACGTTTATACGAGCTCACCTATTTATGACAGCTCTCGTTTTTTGTGGCCAGACCTGCGAGAGGCCAATTAATAACTTTCTATGGAGTTTAAGTTTTTTAGATCGTGCTTCAAATTATTCTTTTTCAATAATATATGAACGGGAAGATTATTTAAGTCCCAATACCTGGTAGGGTTATTAACAATTCCAGAAAAAATTCTCTCTTTAGTATCCCAAAAGTTTCTGTTCGGGAGTTGAATTACACCATTTACACTCTCTTTGAGTTCCCATTGGAGCATATGACTTAAAAATAAACTTGGCATGTACTGATGTTCACTGCAAGGTCAAGGTCATTCATACTACTATAAATTTGTGCGAAACATAACCAGCCGGAAAATTTCAGCCACCCACCTTGAAGGCACTTATGTGCATGCCATACTTCCAGCATACTCGCTTTCTTAACATTAAGGACCTCACCCTTCCGCAATTTCATCTCTCGATTTTTCCGGTTGGGATAGACTTGTGATAGTGTAGAAATACGATATTCTAGAATGTGTTCTCGAACTTTTTTCGTTCATTTTGAACCTTTGCACGTCAAATGTCAGTTGAATCAAATTGGCGTGATGAAAACCTACCTTTTTTAAAGGCTATGGAAATTTTTTGAAGAATTTCTTGTAGATTATTTGTGAAGGTAGTGGTAGGGATGGTAGATCGAGCTATTACCCGGAATCCACTCGAAGATAACCGCGTTGCAATAAGTAGAGAGAATATTTCATTTATGCTAGCAATGAAGCTCTAGATGGCGAAATAAATGCGTGTCGAGAGGATTTCTCGGTGATATTTGGCGTGAGTGACAACGAAGCGATTGGTTTACATCTACACCTCCTAGAGGTCGACTAAGAAAATGGATTGCATCCACTTTCATTAGTAACAAGCTTTAGAGCTGTTCAAGTTGGCGACCTGTCGTAAAGATACGCAAGAGACAAAAACTCCTTTGATAACCAAAATTTCTTTGCCTGAGAGTGAGAAGTGGTGGGTGAGCCGATAAACAGATATTTTCCCGGATGCATCTTTTTTGAGCGATCAAAGGTCCCCGTTTAACTTGAACATTGTCCACATTTAATTTATGAGTCTCAGATTTGATAAATATACCACTTTTCTCGTGACACTTCCGAATAAGTTGTTAAATATTAGCTATTCATCAAAAGAAACACTTAGACGTAGCAAGTTACCTAATCTATCGGACATATGCAGGGACGAGCGGAATTTTCAAAAAGTCCATCCTATTAACAAGGCGAAAATACGCGCAGCTGCCGAGTTTAATTACCTTTTTCACTATCTTTGCCCAAAGTAAAATACATGGTGGTCTACCGCATAAATCATTCGCCAAACACATGGGATTAATTTGGTTGTGCAAAGAAAAAAATGACGAAAATCACAGCATGTTCCGCGTGTTGTGAAGTCGCTATCTGACATGGGGTCTTTTCCTTGTGGCAGTGCAAATGTTATAACCATGCCTTTAACCGATAGAATAGATAGCTGGCAGTAAACGTGTAGCGGTTTAAAAGGCTTCAGCTTTCAGATGATGCCTCACCTTCACCACCATGGCTAATTGAGTTTGCGATAAACTCGTGGTTTGAGATGACCGGATGTGTCCATCAATCATTTTCTTTGCACATCACTAAACGTTACGAATTTATCATGAACCTTCTAACAAGTATTCAATACCTAATCAAATACTGATTTGCGAGTACCTTTCTGTACCGCTACACCACTGGGATTCCATGACGCAATTCGTACTATGAAGTATGCCGTGACTAGGTGAATTGATTCGCAGGAAAGACAAGACGAGAATGTGGATGAGGATGCAGAAGTACTACCTGTCTACTTCCATTACATCTTAAATGGCATGTCTTCTCATCATAGGCAAGTTTAATGGCAGTGTGAGTCACAGGATCATGTGATCCTGGGAGAATGATAACACCAAATTCCTCCCACTCCATTTACCAATAATGACTTTCTCTCGCACACTTTTGAGTTAACCTGTGTCTAGTGGACGGGTCGCAGATGCAAAAAGTTCTTTACAAGTTTTAGGCGAGTAGTGAGACAGTTTGGACTCAACCAATGATGCGCCAGTTCGCATAATGAGGGCTACAATACTAAATCACAATGCCATCTCCCATCACAAGACAATCATCCGGCAGTTGGCTAACGAAATTAAATGCACGGCACGTTTATATAAAGGGCGTGATAAAAGTAACAAAACAAGTTGGTCCTTTTTGCATGTTTTTTTATGTAATTGGATGAAGTTTGCTTGCTCGGTAGGCTTCAAGACCTCCAATTAAAAATGTAAGCCAATCATTTTATTGTCGATCACACCAAATATTACTGGAAGTTCCTTTCGCCACAATCCAGTATTGATATCGCAGGGCTTGATGCGTCTGTCTCTGAACAAATTCATCACCATGGTCAATAATGCGTTGTTCTGCCACCGCACAAAACACCTCTAAATGCTCTATCAATAATTTAATGCAAAACTTCTGAAGCCCATTAAAGAATATTTCTGCTTGTATTTTTCTCAATCATGACGACTTCTACTCTTATTACCATCTAAAGATTGACAATCAGAATAAATCAATGTACGATCACCTTCTAAATTTACTGCATATATATATCGCACCATCACTTTGCTACCTCCTCATTACCAAATGCATGCTAGAAGAATTATTATTTACGCTTTCTATGACTCCCTTTCTCGCTCCTATTCCGATCATGTGAAGATGAGGAAATTGGATTTTTTCTTAGCATCTAGGGCATACAAGTGCTTAAAAATTAGTATACACTCGCCAACTTGCCTAATTAGTAATGTTTGCCTTCCACGCGAACTGCAGATGTGATGGTTGGATACCTTGGCAGGTCTCTTACACAGTTAGGGCTTGTCAGTGATGCCCAGAGCCTGTGGGCGGCTAGATATATGCCACTCCACTGCTCCCCTTACCCGTTCCCCATGTAAGGGGTTGTGTAAAGAGGTAGACAGATAGGTAGGTAGCTCTTAAACAAAACGGTGGTCTTTTAAATAGCCTATGCTGCTTTTCATCCTATAGACTCGACTCTTCTGGCCGAGACCATTAAACCTTTCCCAATGAAGCGTCTTACTGTTATTTTCACAGAGGACAGGGGCGTCACAGCCTGTCTGACATGGTAGGCTAAATTCATCCAAAATTGTAAAAATGATGACCAGATACCAAAACCCAAACATTATAGCAGACGTGCAGTAGACTCACAAATGGCGGGTTAGCGAAGATACGTCGACGCATACTGATCATTTAAATCTTGTGCTCTGCAAGAAAGTATGCAACACCTGAAGTGCCACTAGAATCAAATAATTTCAAAAAATCCTTTAAGGAGCTGTTGGAAGATTTATGTATTGAGTTCCTTCATCACGTTCCCAACAGCCGCAGAGACCAATCTGCCTGGTTGCACTCAGCTCGTATAACCTTTGCTAGTCGTACATGGGTGGAACTGAAGATAAGTAAATCATTATTATTTTGCTATCTTATAACTACTTTTTGCATAATAAATCAATCCAGAAATGCAAAGAGATGGCCGTCAGTTTGGCGACTAGTGTCTTGAATATGAGTCGGTGTTATATGGAAGACTTGTAGATGTAAGTAGTAAGATGCGGTAGGCAGGTAAGCGGAGAATTTCAACAAGTTTTCTTTATAATAAAAGAAAATAGCTGCAGGAAGTTTCTAGAAAGTGTTATTCGTTATAACTCCTTTTCAAACAAACAGGGCAGCTTTGCTTATGCCTTTACAAAATGTTTTGTCTCTAAACATGAAATGGGGAGCAATAACAGCCTTGAATACTAACTCACTTAAATAGCCTAGTTTTCTAGTCGATTATTATCAGTGCTAAGTGAAAGGAAGGACTGAGGACTACCGCGTTAAGCTCGGCTCATAGAAGAGAGTAGCTCCCACCACGTTCACCCGATTTAACTAGCATTTAATAGGTAAGGGTTTAAACTGAAAAAATGTTAATGCGCTCAGTAAAGAGATTTGTACCGATAGACTTATTTAAATTGCTCTTGAATGAACACTTTGTTTGTGGCGGAAAGGATGATTTTATACTCAAAGATCGCACACTTGTGCATCACACTGTGGGCTCTCGAGATATATGCGTAAAAGAGAGCTACAAATAGCTTTAGTAGGACCCAAAGTTAAATCCTTTTCATAGGTACATACGGTATAAGGAAAGTTGTAAATGTGTTTTACGGGTGTCATAATACCGATGCTGTCAGTTGGTTAGAAAACGAACCCAAGCCCTTTCCACTACAATTATTTAACAGCTGCAACTGCCTGTCAGGGTGGTTATATTTGACCTGCTCACTGCCGGGTTCCAGCGTCTTTCTACTAATGTAATGCCAACAGAGGGCCGCTGCCATCACTACTACGCACACCACCACCGCCACCACCACCACAGTGGTTCCAGAGGACCCCCCACGTTGCCAAATACAATTTCATCCTCCTGGCTGGCCAATTTTCCTAAAATGGGTCTTGCTAAATTAAAGAAGGTGAATAGGTGCTAAGTAACTGGGATGTTGTGACATATGTTCGGTGATTTGTTAATCAAAGGGAGAATTAGGCAACTCGAGAACAGAAGCTCGATGCAAGAAATCATCTGTTAAAGGATTTTACATTAGTGACGCGATATCTAGTAGTGGTTTGGTAATGGCAGTTCTAACCAATAGATAAGATTCAGAAGTCCTCGTTTTTGATTCTTAAAGATGGCTGTGTGCCAAAAACCAATGTTTATGCGCTTAAGCTTTGATCCTCCCGAGCCCCTAGTTGGATTAATTTATTTAATGACGTGAGGGAGTGAGGAAGGCAGTACGCAGCGTGCGTATATGACAGCTGACTGGTTAGTGAAGAATACTGAAGGCACTGGGTAGCCTTAATCACGTGTAATCATAGTATTGGTTTGGCCTCGGTATCAGAGCCCTTAAAGTACCTCTTCTATACGTGATCCCAACATCCCCGGTAGTATTCTACCCTTATTCGTAGAAATCGCCCACTCTCACTATGTACTGGGAAATGCAATTTATAAGAGACTCTTTTAACTAAATGGTAGTAACAATACCCTAAAAATGGGCACATTGCTACAATAATATACTGATTAAAAATGCTTTACATTATGAATGCAATTCTCTTTTTAATTTTCGCCCTAACTACGAGGGATCTTTATTTGCAGTAGATTGTGCTTTCACTTAAGGAAATGGTCTTCCGCTTATGCCACTTCTCTTCTGACTCCTTTGGATATTAGTAATACGCTTTCTTTTTACAGGGATGACGTTAGTGCTGCAATATGTAAAAGTTCCGCTTTAACCCAAATTGACGTTTTTTAGATTCGAACAGTTAAACTTGCTATTGAAATATGGAAAAGTAGCGTATTTTCCAGTTGAGATTTCCACTCTAACCAAATGTAGAGATTAATGGATCATACTAAGCATTACTATTTTACTCAATTACTATTCAACTCGAAAATTACTCAGTATATGGATATAAAGGGATTAAACTTGTTATTAAATTAAGGTAATCGTTTGTGGTCTGGAAATTTTAGGACCTTTCCAGATAATTTCGAAAAATAGCACATTGCTTTCAATCCAAAAAGGTGGATTAGCCTTAAATTCAGAAATCAAGCCACTTTTTAGAAAAAGATCATATCTACTTCAATTCTCTAGTTTTAGTGAGAAGGACCTTTTAAGACTGCTGATTTCAGTTTAAAGCTGGGAGAGTTGGAACAATACTAAGGTGGGAGAAAACAATGTCGATGGACTGGTGAGCATATCCATCTATCTGTTTACCTCATTCTACTTTTAGAAAGGTAGCAGAAATATAAAATCTGTAAAAAATCCCCAAAGTATAAAGGCTCACTAGCTTTACCATTAAAAAACTCATATTTGTTATAACGTTGCTGAATTTTGGCGCATTAGGATGCATATTGCTATAAAATTTAATGGCATTCAATTTTAAAATTTATTACAAAGATCATCAGTGACAAGATACACCACAACAATGTTAACAAAATTTATGCTTGCTATACAACCATTCTGAAACGCTTTAGCAAGGACGAAAATCTGGTTCTGCTGTAGAAGGGTAAGGTGGTTGGTGTAATGGATAGTTAAATTCACATACGTTAGCATTGGGAAAACTGCATTCAAGCACTGAAGGACGAACTAACTCGGGTGAGTGCAATGATGTATTAGAATCAGAATTCAACTTAAAGAGGTTCGATTCTGGTGCTGGAGGAAAAGATGGATGGGTTGAATAGGATTGTGTACTGCTTTGGGGACTCCTCTCCCTTGGAATACCAAAGAAGTCACATAAAATGGTTTTATGACTGAGAATTGCGGCTAAACGCGAAAGAATTTCATCAAAGCCTTCTTTCTTGCGACCTGCTCGTTCCAGTGCCTCAACTGGGCACCTTAGATGGTTGGCGAGAATAGGACCGACTAGTCTCAATAATGGCGAAACTTCAGCTGAAAGGGAAGCTGTTACTTGAATAGTCGCTAACCCTGAAGAATCTTCCTCCTGTTCGGATCTTGAAGATTGTAGGGAGAGCAATTTTAGTGTCTTAACTTGAAACCCACCTTTGAATAAAGATTCTAATTCATTTTCATTAAAATTTTTCTTCTTGGGGTATTGACATGGATGTAAACCGCAAATTCGTGGTTCATGTCCAAACTCACTCAAGTAGAAGGGTTCCGAGATCTTCAGAACTGTACTATCGTTTCTCGACATCGTACCACCTCGCACGACATCTTCCGGTAGGTTATAGATACCAATGTTGAGAGTGATATCCGCTTTCATCTTCCGTTTTTGTCGAATTACTTTCTTCTGAGATTTCGATTCTTCCATATAGTCCGGCATCTTATCCTTTTCCCTCTCCTCATTTTTCACTTCAATCACTATAGAGGCAGGATACGCATGTTTCTTTCGAAGAAACGAAGAGTTTTTCATCCTGACTGAATATGACACATTTTTAAAGCTGTCCATTTTAGAAAGAGGGAGGAAAATGGCAGCTACCCTTCCACGTGACCTTCAAAATTGTGTGTGACAGTAATCGATAGATATAGTCTTGTTTTTTTACCTCTAGAGAGGCCAATAACAAAGTATTGTCCATTAAAACCTGTTAATCTCTGTGAATCCTCAACCCAGGAAATGAGGTAAGAAAAAAAGCACCGAAGATGAACTGCCAACTGCAAAAATGTTACTCTGGATGTGAAAGGCTGAATTGCAAAGATGTAGTTTCAAGGGCAAGTAGTGATCCATGTGGACCACAATGGCGGAAGGATCGCTGCCTCCTAGAATGTGCCCAATTTCTAGATACAGGGCGACATCGTTGGGAATTTAATGCTACATTTTGGAAATTGATAATTCAGAACCACCTAAAACACGCTTGTTCCTTTAATTGACCTAAATAAATCTATCAACATTACGAAGAGTAGTAAAAATTGGGAAATCAAAGACAGAGAGGAGCATAGAATATCAAACAAAGAATGTGATGTCTACAAGGTCCTACCTCGCCTCGCGGGATAAAAGTCATTTAAAAGTTCTCATTACTTCAGCAATGAATCCAGAAGAAGATTACGATATTTTAATATCAGAGGACGATTGTAGCAGTTCGGAAAATAATGATTTTACAAGGTTAAGCCACATAAGTCTAGACGAAATTGATAAAACAGAATGTCGAATTTTAAAGGAGGGGTTCGAATGCATCTCAATAGAAATCGATATCAAAAAGTGCTACGGAGGTCAATAGCTCAAAAGCGTTCATGATAAAATTGCAAAATAGTTCACCATTGTCAAAATATTCAGAACAGTCTATTGACATCCCGATGTTTGGCAATGACCCAGGTCCCATGGATACAGGAAAATACAAATCATCCCACTGGATTCAGTGCAGCCTTACAAAACCCAGTAAACATATTTAGCCGTCCCTATCGGTTCCAGAAAATGGACCAATCAATGCTTCTAGATTAGATGGGTACCCAGAAGAAGTAGAAAGTAGGGCTATTAAAAAGACAAAAACTTCAAAAAATTCAGAGATGCATAAAATTGCCCATTCGAATAGGTCATCTGGGATCGTAATTGAGAGCCACAACGAAGCCACTAATGGGATGGCTGAGTGTCGAATTTCAGATGAGGGAATTCGGTGCGATATCTTGGAGTCTCCCAGATCTGCTCCACCTGATACATTAGCTTCCAAGAATTAGACTGTCCGTTCCAAAACACTGAGACGATACACAAGTGACTCAGAATTTCAAGATTCAGGATTGGCTCGGACTTCAAATGCTTTAACAACCAAAAATTTTTCTCATCACATTAAATCAGTAGATACTACTATGTTGGGCAACAGTCAGAATGTCAGCAGAGAAGTCGAATGTAGAATTTCAACGGGGGGAATTCAGTATGACTTAGCAGAATCGCCAAATTCCGATAAATGTTCTATACCCGTGCCTTAGGATCCATCGGTTTCCTCCAGCAATCCCGTTGGTTCCATAAGGTTAAACCGTCGTTCAGAAGAACTAGAAGGCCGTAATAAATCAGTGGAGATTGCAATGATTAGCGACGATAAGGACATTAACGAAGAAGCAGTGCGTCAGATTTTAAATGAAGGAATTTACTGCCCGCTATCAGAAGTCACCGTTTTGGAAGGATCGACTAGTGTTCCCTCTACTAGGAATTCTGCACGTCACTTGAACAGCTTCAAGGTATCAACTGGTAATGAAATGGTAAACAATAATGTAGAAGGCTTTGAGGAATCAGAATGTATACTTTCATTAGTGAGTATTCAATGCGATATATCAGAGTCCCCTGCTTCAAAATTACCCAAATATTTGAATTATCTAGACAAGTCAATCCATTTAATAAAAGGCAATGAGGATTCGGCCTGCAGATCCGCTAAAATAATCATGAACAGTGAAAAATTAGAAACTCCTCTCATCGCAGCTCCTAAAAACTCTACTATGATTTTGGTCGGCCCGAACGGTTTGATAAAGTCGATAAGATCGAATCAATTCGAACAATTCAGGGAGGGATCAGCACGTGGGATTTCTGGAACTGCTTCTGATAACGACGTACCTGAAGTACCTTCCATGATGCGCCCAACAAGTTCTCCAGTAATTATAATCCGTTTGAAAGAATCTAACCGTTCAGGGAATCCTAATGCTGGCAAAATTGGTGATTTTAAAAAATTGGGAACCGACACGGTTGCTGAAACCTCCATATCAGTTCCGAGAAACTCTTCTGTGTTTTTAACCCACATGAATAAAGCAAATAATTTATTAGGCCAGAACTGTATCATAGAACGTAACGAGGATTCAATAAATAGGATTTCTGAAGGCAATAGTAACTGCCCCAAAACGGAAGTTGACGTACCATGCACACCCTCTACAAGAAACACAGTGATATCTATGGTGAGTAGTAATTTAGAAGCTAATTCTGAAACAGGACGCACAATGTCAGAGGAAGGAGTTAAGTGCGCATCAACAAAAGGTGTTACATCATTAAGATCTCTCAAAGTATCAACCGTAAGAAATTCTACATTCGAAATGAATGATTTTAGTGGACTAGTCGATATCGACATGATGATTGATATTTCAGATGACGACAAAGAGGCTGATTACAAACTAGCCAAAGTAGAGACTGAAAAATTGTTCAGAAATTCATCCGTAAATTCTTCCGTCGAATCAAACAATTTTAGCGAAGTAGTCAACATTGTACCAGTGAAAATAATACAAAAGGATGGAGACAAAGCCAGAGGTAGTCAATCATCTCATCGGCTTAAACTTACAAGAATTGAACCTGGCGCACTGACTACACTTTCCGCCGCAATGTCTAAAACTTGACCCGTATTCCCTCTTTAAACACACCTCAAAGTTAAAGAGAAGAGCCTAAAAGCAAATTAACAAAGTCTAAACTAATTACCTCTGGCATATTGCATATTTCAGTACCTGGAGATTAGTCTGTTCCATCAGTCGATGACCTATAGTGGGATAGAATTTTAGAAGAATGGGAAAGTGGATCGTCGGTATCAAGAATCAGTTCTATAAAACTTGTGAATTTTTATTCACACCATCCGGGACGCACAAATCAACTTCTGCGATCAATAATCCACTGTCTAGCGGACCTCAAGAACAGATCAGTGGGGAACCAGGAGGTAGGATGACTAATTTCTCATCAAGATTTGATTCAAAAGTTAAGCCCTCTATCAAAACGTACATTAAAACTAACTCTGCTATGGTCTCTGCAAGGAATACTACAAATGGCTGGTGTGGACTAGTGCATTGCGGTGGTTCTAGAAACAGTCTGCCAGCTTCAGATTTTCAAATAAAGAAAAATTGCCGTTTCACCAAATCCAGGAGTCAGAAGCCTCTCCCGTGTCGATTGCTTATCGCTCATCACACGCGTTTCTCCATACTATACAGAACTTTTGCAATTTCGGCCATGTGTGAGGTAAATTCTTAGGCCTATATGTCATCTGGAGGTGACAAAAACAAAAAGGAGAGTGTAATACGTTATTGGGACAAAATTTTTGGCACTATCTTTACCATGGTAGAAGCACATTACAACAAGAAGGCTCCTGAGATACATCAGGAACTTTGCAAAGTAGACCCTGTTTTGGAGGACAGGTCGTCTGCAAATTTGGGTTCCCCTTTCAGGAGGGTCAGCCTTATAATTCTCAGTTTTTCACGCTGTGAAATTGTGCAGCCCTTTTTGAGTCCTTTAATTAATACACACTGTTGCATAGCCATTCTTTTCTGACTTCACTTTAGATTGTTCTACGATCATTGGTGTGGTTGGAATGGATACTAATGAAAAGAAGAAAGAGTGAAAACTACGATTTTTTCTCTACCTGACTACCACGTGATGGGACGAAAATCAATGCCATAGAGGGACACAATGTATGACCGTTCGGTCGTCTCCAACGTAAAATCATTTCTTGATTTTGATGACTGTGATTTTTCTAAGCAGGCAAGACTAGTGACAATGGTCGATAAAATTTTCGGCCGAGGTGGAGCAATACCACAATATGGACGATGTCCACATCATTCCTATCCCGTTTGGATGCCAGAATGGACTAAACCACTGCACACTGATAGAGCGCCAAATCCAGCATCGACATTTTCCGCCAAGGCGCATGAAAAGCTGCCGCAAGATAGTAGAAGTTATAGGTCCTAAAGCAAATTTTATGCCATTCAGTTTTCTTCTGACCACTGGTTTGGATTATTTTATCTTTAACACATGATTTATTTGTTTTCAAAATATTGCTACTGATAGTTTCAGATGTCAACCTCGAGGTGAGTTGGAGCGATAACAAGACGTACTAATCGCTTTCAGTAGCATCAGACAGATCAAAAAAGCATGCTATAAGGAAGCCATTGTTGCAGCCTACATATTAACACGACTTGATTTACAACTCTCAATAATAGAGAACTTGCGAGAGGTTTATGCGGCAGAAAATTCCAGCAGTTTTGGATGTTCGTGATGAAACAATGGGATTATACCTATTCTAAATACACCCGCCGCAATTCAATGCGTATATGTGAAGCACCCACCACTTCATCCTTAGGAGGGTAGACATGTTTTGTGGGTTTGTGATAGATTGTAGACAGTTATGTGTTAGAGACTGTTCACTGGCTGGAAGACAAACAGTCATGCCTACCAAGATCTGTCTCCTCGATACGGCATAACTCGATGGAGTGTAAGAAAAAGGGTTTGGCGAGAAACAGTCCTAACGAGTACAATCAGTGAAAAGTTGGGACAACGCAAAGCCTCGCACCTGCCTCCTCATACCTCTTACTGTAAATAAAATTGCCGTGCGAATATGTGTACTTTGGGAAGAAATGGATGTCTTATCCGCATGCTCCATATTTTCCTGATTTTATTACTCCAAATCTGCAGTGGCGGCCATCACATTTTCTTGACAAGACATGATCTGGACAGGTGGTAAACAAAAGCTTAATCATAACGTAGGCTTCCAATGCTGGGTTGTTTGTTTTGGATGACAAAAACCTTCCGGCGTTTACTTAATTTTTACTATCAAACCACACAAACACGTCTAACTGCCATAAACTTTTAGTACTTTCACGGGCCCAAACATTTGCATGCAAGCGTTAGCGTAAAAGCGAAATTCATTCGTCTGAAATAGACTTCCAATCGTTCCATTCTTTTGTTAGTTTAATGTGGCAAGGAGATCCATCTGCCCCGAACCCAACTTTCGTCGTCAGACGTTTAGACTGAAGAAAGCATTTCAAACAATAGTTACATTGGCAGTTTCAAATTTACACCAATAAATTTCGATGGCTTTGTGAAAAAAATGAATCAAGAACCGGTAATAAAATAAATTTCCTTGAAAAAATGTGGATTTAAAAAAGGCGGTGCTGTCAACGTTTGGTAATTTTACGGTTTTGAATTATAGGCAACGATTTGGCTTAGATTTTAACAAAATATGTTAAAAGAAGGGAGAAGAGGAACACATTAGTCACAAATTTTGAAAAGCGAAACACCTTTTTTGATTTTTTGATCCGCTTGTCAGAAGCAGCTAAAGCACCAATTAGCGAAGTTGCAATGCGGCAGTGGTTAGGAGCAGTTCTGTTTACCATTGAGGTCAGAATCGACAGGAGATGCCAAAAAATGCTTATATAAGTCAGATTTGGATTAGAGCATTTCCTTTTGCCGCTAAATATCACTCAGGAATGAGGCACTGCATAAATTCTCCTTTTAATGAATGCTTTATATAAGAGCCAAGCGAAAGAACGACATTGTGAACAAGTTAATGCAATTCCGAGATTGCATTCTCAAGTATCGCCATAACAATTTAAATCCTGGTATTAAGGGCAGTAACTAAGCCCTGACATCCTGAAGAAGTACTTACATATGTTTCAGCATGAATGTTCCTTCCTAAGAGCAGGCTATCTCCCACCTCTCCGCAAACATGGTAGTCCATGTTTGAGGCGTGTGTGGGAGAAATACCGATGCACTACTTCTCATATAACTTTGAGAGCTGTTTTCGAAAAAGTTGACACTAAAAAGGCCAAATTAATGCTGTAAATCGGTTTGAAGTGTCCACCACTTCTACCACAAAACGCAACAATGAAGTTAGACTCTAAGGATAAGAAAACTACTCGCACCTTGAATGAGAAACAAACCCTTCTAAACTTTAGAAGAGAATGTGAAAGAGAGTGTGAGAGTGACATCCTAAAGAGGAAAGAAGTTATTGTTTTATGCAAATTGGGTTAACAAAATGTGCGTTCTAGGACCTCCGTGGTACGGTTATAATCATGGCCTCGTGCCGTTCAGTTTATCTCCATCTCATGTCAGTACTTATCTATGCTTATTGGCGTACCTAAAGGTAACTGGAGGGGCCAAGATACCATCTTGCCTTAAAAATACACCTATTGTCAATAAAACTTGCCTTTCCTTCATTTCTCACTGTAGCAAGCGCTTGGGAGACTGAAGTCATTAGGCAACAACCGAGTCCATCCAACATTTTTCTACTAGACTATTGACGCTCTTAATTTGGTGCAGTTATCAATCTCTTCATCACTAGCCGATTTCGACATCCTACCAATTATATTTCGCAACTTTTAAGAGAATAAGCGAAGTATTTTCATGTGATAGAAGGTTAAAAGTGTTGCTGCCTTCTTATGCCCAGAGCAGTAGGATTTTAAGAAGGACTTCTCACTTGAATGTAGGTCACTTGTTCTAATTTATACGCATGGTGGCTTTTGCATATCGCAAGTTCTCTTTTTGAATGTAAGAGGGTCAACTGCTTAATCTGGAAAAAAATGCCTGATTTCAAACAGAACAGGTGGCTATATTTCTAACTTCTCACGAAAACATCAAGTGAAGCTCAACAGGGAACGCTAACTAAGCAACACCATCCATTTTCAATTAAATCATTTTCCATCTTGTTGGAGTGTAATATGCAAGTGTCACAGCTAGAGAGTGGAAAATTATCTAAGAGAATGGATTGTTTTCGCAGCAGTACCTTTGATTAGACGAGTATTTTTTGCCTCTTGCGATTTAGCCTTGTGCCAGGAAGTACGGGGCTAAGTTATTGGTGCTCTGCATCGTTTATGGGCTTAAAACAAAGCTAAATTGTAATTTGTGTGATCCACCTTGATGGCGACTTTGCTAAAATTGCCAGATGCCCTACCAAAATGGTGCACAAGAGAGGCGTCTAAGTTGGATGGTCGAACTACAGCAAAAGAAGGTGGGATATTAGAAATGGGGACTCAGTTCTCAGTTTACGACATACGATGACCTTAATGCTATAGGTAACATTAATATGGTAATAATTGTTCGGATTGCATTGTTGACTAAAACTTACGGGGAAATTTGTGGCAGACGAAACATAACACTGCATAATGAGGAGTTGAAGACAGTGCTGAAAGCGGGTAGAATAACATAAAAGCCTGCACTTTCTACACTATTAATACCTGATAAGGCTCCTCCTAATCGGCCAAGACGTCTCCAGGAGAAAAATAAGGAAATTATACTTACAGAGAAATAAATTGCTTCTAAAGGCAGACCAGATATTTATTTTATGCATGTGTACTGCATCTAGGAACCCTTCTTTTATTCAACAATGAAAGATCATTCCTAAATATGGAGTATATAACTTTGAGTGACCCATCAGCATAATTATCCTTTTTTTTTGCGTAGTACGATTTACTACCGCATACCACATCTTCTTTAAATATCACAAAACCAGGAATTTCGAGAAGTTTTGCCAACCATGGAAGTAAATTCAAATCCATCTACTCCATCCGACTCAACTAATGAGAACGTTATGTAAAAGATTGATAGAACTGCGACCCCAATTAAGGGTGCCGTACCGACGAAGACTAAAGATATAAACAGTCGCATTGTAGTGAGCCTTATCGAATACTGTACAGCTCCTATTTAATAATCGGATATTTATACTGTTTGAGATGCCTTATAATACTAACGAAGGGAATTTCACGAGAACTCAGTCCACTAAAGGTTGCATTTTAAACAAGTATTTTAGTCATTTCTTTGGAAAACGAGACGTTATCTACTGCAAAAGTTTATTTACTTGAATCAGAGGATTTTAAAAGTGCCAGCTATTCAAATAATCCTTCTTCACACACTTTTTAACAGTTACGAAATTGCCTCTTGATTTTCTTTGACATAATTGTCAAAATGGGCAACTTATCCACCTTCTTTCTAAAAGGCAAAATTACAGAAGTGACTAAAGTCGCGCAAGTTAAATGAATTCCTTCTTTATAACAAACATCTTTTTTGAATAAAAAGCACAGTTTAATTTACCTACAGACTTAAGGATCGCTAACTATGAAACGTCACATAAAACTCGGATGTAATTCGTATTGTTGCATTTGGAAATTGCACTCTAGGTGGAGTAAACTTCTTCCCTGCAAGTTTTCAAGGTTAGCCGTGCATTCTAGACTGTTCGTTTAATCACTGATCAACTGATTTAGCTTGGAAGGAGAAGTAGCTTTTGTATCCCAACCTTCGCCGGGTATTACCCAAATGACTCACTCACTGTAGTATTGCAGACAGCTTGAACCATTCGTCAAGAGTGAGATTTTTCTAATTCACAAGCATATATGACGCATCAACCCTATTATTGTTAGTAAGCAAGAAAAAATCATGTACGATTTCACCTACTGATTGCCAACATTTAAACTGTTTTTAATAAAAATGAATGCCTTTCGCAGAAACTAATTATCTTTACACTTTTACGACTGTTGTTTACTTTTTGGTATTTGGTTATTAACATTTCACATTTCATCTTCTCTGATATTTAAGCGAGAATCTCCACTGGCTTAGTCAACGAAACTTGTTACGTCTTTTTAAATCCTTAATGTCAGGTGAAGCAAAAAAAATTGAGCAGTTTTTTAAGTACTTTTTCTGTAATGACTCATTCATAGACGTAGGAACTTGTAAAATAATGCGTGATCATTTATTTGTAACCTATACTGCCTTCTTTCTCTTCTAAATTCGCACATCATGGAATGACCTACTGCATAAAGCTTAACTTTGTTAAAAACTGCTGACCTTTCTCCTCAAATCTGGTGTATAGTACTTTGAGATAGTGCAATGGGAGAACGTGCCATTAAGAAGTGGTTTAAATAAGTAATTTGCCTATTGCAGGGAAATACTCAAAGCTGTTGCATCGTGTACTCTGGATTGTTTGCTCACTCACTGATTAACTGATCGACATATTATAAAAAACGGTTTTGTATACTCGAATGATCCACTATCTACTCTTCAAATACGTATAAGGAATGCACCAATTCATTTTAAAAAGGCTTTGGATATTAGTGGTAGATTATAGACAAAAATCGTTTGTTAGAATTTGCTTATTTGTTGAAGGCTATTTAGCAAATCCTACTGTGATCTATCAACCCGATAGGGTACAAATCGACAGTAGGATATCTTATTGAGAAATTGCCAAAATGCATTAATCATTGGAAGACAAGGAGGCTCAAGACCTCAAACCTCTTTCCACATGTCTCATGCTTCTTGCTACCGAGTAGTATCTTCAGCTTATCGCCTCGTCTAGCGGTAGAATGAGGTATAAGGGCTTCAAGCGTCGTGGGACTAAGAATGGTATCTCCTTATTCACCCTTTTACCAATCCAAATTGTTTCTCAAGAAGTCATATTTCTAGCACACTTCCGACTTATATCTTATCGGAGGGATAGGTGTATGTCGGATTTGCTTTTTTTTCAGTAGGTAAACAATTGCATCTAAAAGCCGCCACTCGCAAAGCAAGTATAGACTTCTGGAAATGAAATGGTAGCTGCAGGCTGAAGCATTGGACGCGCCCAATGATTAATTAGTTTGCTTTAATGAACGTTGCGATATAAATGCCAGTTCGCGCCACAAACCAGTTAGTCAATGGGTAGTTATGAGGTGAAAGGAGCGAGGAATAACGCATGGTGTCCTCTGAAACCCTTTGTTTCACAACTGTTAACAAATTAGAGTGAAACGAGCCTGTCTAGCAGATCCAACGATTTTCTCTTTTCTTTTGACGTAAGTGTGGGTTGTTTTTAGAACTTGATGCTATATATTTATGCCATACCATCAAAATTATTCTTCGCTATCAAGAATGGCGGATCTTTCCCTGTCAACATAATAAAACTCCATCCTTGTGTTGCACTTTTTCCAAATGGTACATAAGGAATTTGAGGAGAAGCTTTTGTTGCTTTAAAAACAAGTTAAAACCAGTTTGTAGAGAGCAAATAAGCTCAAGTCGCATCCGACAGATTCGGTTCGGAACATCTGCACACCCTAGAAAAGTTTCTCCAGAAGTTTATTTTTTGTGCCTAATTTTCCACATCTTAGAACGTCTCGAAACTTGCACTCTCCTTCAGTTCCTCCGATTGGCCACTATCACGAACACACTTTAAGTGCACATAGTCGCTCCAAGGCCAAGGCAAATCGAAGCCCCGTAACTATCCAGGACTGGAATCGCCTTAGGCCTCCGGCACACAGTCATTGGCTGCACGCGTACGCGGCGTCTTTACCCTAACTACACCGGTCGGTAATAAGCCCTCTGCATTCGAGTCTTGGCCCCTTTGGCTACTCTGTTTCAAGCTTATGGCCAGAAGATCTTAAGAAAGACAGGATTTAGGACTGGAGTCATTTTCATACAAATGGGGTAGGGACTTCAGCGTATTTGTAAGTATTTACGAAGACAGAAAAGCGCTGTAAGAAATTGTTATTGAATTTCACCGCTTGATCTAGCTACCAACAGAGATGAGCAGCCTTGAAACAATCTGCAAAATCCATATATCACATAAAGAATTATTTATCTGCAAATACAGTGTTCAAATGTATCACATTTTCCCGAGAATCATTAGTCATAATGTAAGCATTTGGGTGCAAATTTTTCATCCCACATTTAAGTAGCTTAACAGAATGGAAATTTCAGCTTTTATTCTTGCCATTACCGTGACGCGTTGCCTTGTTCCGAAAAGGGCAGGAACACCATAGAGAGACAGCGTAAATTGACATTCGGAAGGTGAAATTCAGCACCTTACAATACCAAATGTAAACATTCATTTGATGAATGAGCCAAGGTGGTAACCAGATGGACGCAGAGGCATGAGTGCGTAATTTTTTTGGTATTCTTTTCCAGACACAATGTACATATGCTGTTTAGCTGATCTGTGCTTATGACTATGGAATGAGTGTTCCACCAGATTTCCATGATTTACAATCACCCAGATGTTGAACTTACATTCAATGATGATTTGATTTAGTGGCAGCAATATGATTGTGGTGGAATCGCGTGTTCTGAGGTTTCTTACTCCATACTGGATGAACTTAAAACAACATTCCAACACCTTTAGTGCTCAAATCAGTTCGATCAAATTTTCGCCAAAATACCCCTACGGACTCGGTCCTCACTTATCTCCCCTGGTTAATAATTTCAATTTCTTCTTTCTGGAAGTAAAAAGCATAAAGGACCTACTTTGATGCATTATTTTCCGACAGCGTAAAAGTTAGGCCATAAGTTAGGATTTGATTTCATTTAGAAATACATTTAGGAAAGCGTATTTATTTGTTCCATTTCCGGATTATAAATCAAGATAAGTGATACGAAAGGTCTGGAAAAAGGCATCATATTGAGGAAATGCAAAATTATCTTTACTCAAAGTAACCCAATAATTTTACCATCAGGCACACTAAAATCGTGTCTTTAACATTCCATACAACGAATGGCAAATTGTGCCTGCTGCCTACTTTCTTGAAGCTTGATAATGTTAGCAAGGGAACAACAGAACAAGACACCCACAGCGAGCGCACCACATGCGGGCTGATTGCGGTCAACGCCTGAGACGAGTGAATTCACATCAACAGCTGTCGCGCTTGTGAAGAGAAATCCGATTAATGACCTAGACTCACAAATGGCCATATTTGGTCATGCATATGCACATAAGGCAAGTTTTTGAAGCCTGTTTTGTCTTATGAATTGAGTTCCTTTTTCGGTGTCAACTTTGGCTTCAAGAGTTGCAAAGGAAAACACTTAAATCAGCTGATTTTGTCGTCCCATTAAGCGGGCTGAATTTTGCTCTGCATAACGCGTCTCAAGGTCGCTATAGTGGCTGAGATTTACTCATGACGTCATCTTAGTCACATTTTGATTGATAAGCGATCAATTGGAACTGAGTCATCCTAACATACGAAAAGATTTCTACTGCTATGGGGAGTGAGGAGTTGGCCTAAAGCCTGTTACTTTACGAATTATGAAATCGAATCTAGAAAGGTTAATTGCTTTCCTTAATATTTACTTAAAATAATATGGCCTCGCTCGGAACGAGAAGCATGAATCCAAGATAATTCAAGTAAAATCGCGTTAGGTGTTAGTACTGAAGTAACTTAGATGAAAAATTCCACCACCGCTTTTCAAATAATTGGACTGCCAGTGTACTTCATCATTGATCCTTGTTCACGTGGCTTGTCACGAGATCAATAATAATCGAACAGTTGTTTAACAGTTCTGCAGCACAAGCGCCGCTCTCTGTCATGGACTATCCAAAGCGGCAATTTATGTTCCGTTTCCACGAAAATATTTACAAGGCTCACGATTTCATTTTCGACAAGAAAACCACTCGTCAAATCGTACCCGATCTCTGCCCTATGATTGTTCCGGGCAGTGCTCCATACGCTACCTTCTGCAGCGCTTCCTCTAGTGCTCCCAGCAACGGCACCTGCAATGGCAGTTGTGGAAGCTCACCTCAAACCGCTCAGTGGTGCCCATGTCGTCATTAGCTAAGTCCCATGGCATCACGTGACAATAATCAATAGAAGAATAGGCATTGAAGTGGAGCGAAGTTGCAATTCAAAGGAGGACGCAAGATGAGGGAAGAGTCGATGAGTTATGTTAAGAAGAGACTCTTAGCACTGCGAATGTACGACCACATTATGAACAAGAAGCCAAACCAGCAATCGCAGATGCAACAGCCACAGCCATTACTTACTCCGAGTACCCCGTACTACCACGGTTGGGGTTCTGCGTCCCCTTACTCAGGCAACGCACTCAGCTTAACCCATGGGCATCCAGTAGCAGTAGTTAGAAGTCCGTATCTCCACAGTGGAAGGACATGTACGTGTTCTGGCGGATTGCCTTTGAGGCTCGAATTTCCACAGTACAACACAGAGGGTCCACTTTATACATTCAGACAGTAGAAGATTGATGACTGACTTTGTAGATCGCTTTTCGTGCTTATTTTTTGTTTTTCCCCTCTTATTCAGTTCGGACAATTGGTTGAATAATAGTTATTTGTGTTATTAGAGTGTGGATTCTACACGCCTTTTGATATTTTGGACCTATTGAGACCAGGGAAAAAGGAGTGAATGATTTTTAAGAAATGATTACTGAGGAAGAAGAACATCGCATGAAAAATATATATGCTTTTAGTCATACAATACCGCAATTTGATGTTTATTAATGTCTGAAATGTATAGCTTCTTTAAACCAAAACGATGGCATTTTCCTTATTTCAAGTGTCTCTTCGAATTGAGTACATGTCTTTTGAAATTCTTACATAAGATTTTTACAACAAATTCAGTCCAAATCTTGTCAGCGTTGAAATTCCCGTTGACTGATGAGGATGGGCTGTTAGAGAGTTCAAGTAAGAAGTCTTGTTCTAAGAGATAACTTGATTCTTGAAAATGGATTACGCATTTTGTGGAGGCAAGACCTGAGCTCAGATCATGGCAGTGGGGGATAAGGTGGCTAAGTTAAAACCATCTACGGCAGCAAATACAAGGCATAAGTCTGTCTGACATGCTTGATTGACAGCTTTGTAGCCGGTAGCTCAAAGTTGTGCATTGGGCAGGGTGTTTGGCTGGATAATAAAAGTACAGTGAATTTGAGTGCAAGGTTACGTTCTGGCGGATAATATAAACAACGAAAATGGGTACCTGCATTGGGACCATGATAGTGAATAATGTTGACTTGCTTCTAGCTTTAGTGCTGGTAGAAGAATAAATACAGACAACTTTTAAGAATCTTAATGGGTTTTTAACTAAACTCTGCTTATTGGATGCATCCTGACGACAAAAAATCGATATAATAGGGTGAGAGTCACGTTGGTAATAGAGGATGCTGTAATCCCTGCAATGGCATGGAACACCCATCTGAGTTGTTCCCGTAAAATCTCACCAAATTTAGGCCAAAAATCGCCGTCCACTTTTGGTAATGTCTGCCAATGCTCAGCACTGCCGAGATGTTGTCGTTCTAGTCCCTCAGCTCAAGGTGAAGCAATGGGAACATATTATCAGCCACTGGAAAGAAATCCCATTCAACCCTTTGGGTGCCTGGATTTCCCTAAAACCACCGCTACATCTAACATCTCAACTGGTACGATGGCGTATCTGTGCAAACTGAACACTCCTCTTCGTAAAACTGAGCATCTCTTTGCTGATGGCAACTGTGTTCGAGCTAGACGAAGTATTGTGGAACTTGGTGACCTAAATACACTCAATAACTGTACTACCTCCTGTCCCATGATTGCAGAACATTGCACTTACAAACAGCAACACCAACACCATGGATGTACTGAGAATCCTGATGAGTGTAGAAGTCTACAAGATGTCCGCTTAACGATGGCTCACTCTCGAAAGGTTAAGGAAACTTCATCGAGCTGTCAGCTGAATACCTCCATGGCTCGTTCCAAACTCTGTTCTCAGGTTTTTCAATCTCTAGTGGATAGCAGTAAGAGTTGGTGTCCCCCTCCGACTCATGGATGTCGACCCAATATTTCCAGATGCCATTCAACGTGCGAGCCATCATGTACGGGTACACCACTAGATATCGGTGATACCGCACGACAGAGGATTGAACAACGCAAGACCTGCCAGACCTCTTCCACTAGGGGGTCCAGATTGCCGTACACGCGGAAGACAATAAAAAATATGCCTCTAAAACCTTGTGGGCCTGGTTGCATGCCATTTTCTAGCACGAGTTTGGAACAGTACTATCGGTCGACAATTGCTTGTGCTAAAAAATTATCTAATGTCTGCCATTTAGCAAATGTTTGTTGTGCTCATCGCAGGGTCAGTCACAGTTGCTCTAGGCACGGGTGCCCTGGCGTCTGCCCTTGTCATTTATTCGTTTGATCTTTTAGATTTAATTTCCACTTACTCCATTCCTCTCTAATTTTACTTTAAAATGTAAGTTCACTTTTTATTTTGGGTTAAAATAGATTGGTTTTACAAGTATGCTGTTTTATGAAGATGTGATTTTAGATTTAGCTCCAATTTTTAATGAAGGACGTCAGCATCTTGCAGTCAAATTCTTCCTAGGTCCACGGTAAACTAGGTTTTACTTCTAAAAAAAGCATGTTAATTGCCTGAAGCCAAACTCTCTGGATCGTTGTCTTAGCAATATGCTGTGGGGATAAAGTTGCCCTTAAAATGCAGTGGACAAACCAATTTTTTAATGGCCAATCAAAGTCAAATGCACTTTGTAACAAGTCCATCAGTTCCCTGCAATCATCAATACTGTCATCCAATTTGGCAAGATTTCTTTTGGAAAAATACGCATTTATTTGAAATAAGAAGCAGACGGTCTTGTCATTTTTATAGCATTTGATCTATTTAACCGTGTCATTCAATGAACATGGAGTTGTAACAGGGGCGACCATTTTACAATCATTTATTTGAAGATGTTAGCTGATGTGTTGAATGCCCAAACACCTAGTAGAATTGATAAACAGAGCCTACTACATATTTCTTCATCTTTTTGCATGAGAATCAAGCTGGAGAGATTACGAATAGATTTGCTGAATTACTTTCTTTTTTTGGACTTGCTGTAAAAAAACAACCCGGATAACCTAGAAGTTTAAAGTTCCCTAGAATACTATGCTTGCATAACTACTCTAACAATTCCATGTGAAAGTCGCAGCTTTGACCCAATGCACACCAATTAAAATCGTTATTTCGGGTGGCCATTTTAAGTCAGGTACGGTTTGTAACGTACTCTATTTCTGAAATCAGCGATTTTGTGGCTCGCTTTATCAAGGACGCTGAAAACATCGGAGAACAAATACATCCTTGAAGGAACCACGCGTTTCCTTACAAATGAAAGGGAGAAGTAGTATCTGTACTAAAATAAGACCCATTTTACGAAGCCAATCTTATTTTCGGTACCGAGGTGTGAAGGATTGCGGTTACATTTGAAGCAGTTAGCATTGATATGATGACATCTTAGCCAATTGGTAGGAGACGGTCCTCAAACTTGTTTGAGCGACACAGCTTTACTTTACTAGCGTAATACGTACTTCTTTAAATTTATTCAAAGCCGAGGTAATTCAGATTGTAACATGGAAAAAGATGCAATGGTTTATTCCGGTTTGGCCATTCTTAGGGAAAGAAAATACTCTTTAGAACACATAAGAAACTGCAAAATTGCAGCTACTCTGTCACCGATCCAATGAGCGCCGATCCGGATCTCGTTTTTAAAGCCTCCAATCAAAGTCAAAGGTGCCTCATGACATCGTTTCAATTTCCTAAGGCCAAAAATGTAGCCATACAATTTGTTAATAATTTCCTGGGAAGTAAGTTAAGGTAGCCTTTACTTAGAGAAAATATCCCAAAACTATGTTGGTATCGCAGTTATTAATCAAACTGTGTGCGTGCCACTAGGCTACCAATAACAGTACTACGCGATCTTATTTTCGGCATCACGTAGGTGCTAGCACTTAACGTTCTCTCAATGCAATTCTTGATTTCATAGTTTTATTACAGCTGATTCGGCATTGTTGGATTAGATATAATGTCATACTGTTTCTCTTTCACGAACAATTACTTACACTACAACTACTTTCACATTATTCATCGGCGTAGTCCCAACTCTGGTCTTACTTTCAAGACTAACATACCTAAGCAGAATGTCATTTCTCACCTTCGGTTGATGTTCTATTCATTCACTAGCAGCCAAATGCCTCGTTCGTTGAAAATTTGAGCTGTAGATGCTGCTGAAATGACCTGAAGATCGATTACTTAATCTGGAAAAATTTTGCATTATGGTAAATTACACGTGTGATTGGCAGAATACAAAACCAATCGAAGTTAAACGCACAACTTACAAAACTCAGATATTTTGTACTCCTTTACCTTCTAGTGGGCATAAGTGGTAGTGCTGCTGTTTGCGCCAGACTGTGCATGGTCGAAAGGAGAGTCCGCGCATTCATTTGACATAAGAATTCGTGCATAAAAACGCCGAGGATATGTGCACCAAGCACCCTTCTTGCAATTGGCCAGCAGCCAAAGGAGGCAGCTAGCGCTAGCTTATAAAACGTGTGCATAAACGGCTTGTACGCGTCTTCAGAGTACGGTGGTATTCGGGTAAGCTCTCTTCTGTTTATTCAATTCTCCTTTTTGTTCTCTAACGCGTTTTAGCTAAACATGTCTTTCCCTTCTGATATTTGCATTATTATAGGTAATAATAAATACAGTTGATAATGTTTAATCCTGAACAATCATGAAAGTAGCCGATCCAAGAAATATTCCTTTTAGAAAATTACCTATGAGCTTATTCTCATGAGTTGAAGTCCAAGAACGGCATTTTATGTAATCTCACCAATTCAGGCATTGCTGAACTCAAGCGGTGTAATTTATCACTACTTTAACTTCTGCGCAGAAAAACTATTGAGAATTGCATGTATTTTTTAAAAATGGTATATGATTTATAAAGGACAATTTAGGTGTGCATCCACCTCATCTGTATCCATTCTCACCATTGGAATACCTTGTATGAACCACATGTAGAGTGAGAAATACGTGATGAAAGGTGGATGTAGTTGTGTAAACATTCGCCTTAATGGATCACCTTGGTGTTTGGACTAAGCGCGATAGCGATGCACACGCCTACAGGAATTCGGCATTAACATAACCTTGTGCATTTGTACCTCAAGTTTTGAACTTATTTGGAGTGAACCAAAGGTTGTGTGCTTATTTTTGTCCAAATCCGTGATAGGCAGGAGAGTTTTTAAAGCGTCTAAATATTTTCAAGATGGACACGGTGAAAAGTCTGCGTGTGATAAGCACATCATAACAGTAAACACACGCACGCGCCTTTGACACAGGGATAGGTTAGGTGGCCTGTATTTGAAATTCCGCACCGTTCGTCACAATTCATTACAAAATGGGTCTCTTTTGTTTACCTCATGAAGAAAACAAATGCAACTGCCATTCGCTGGAACATATCATCGTTTATCCTTGAACTGTTCACCGCTTGCCCCCCGCCCTCTTAAGGCAAATCCCACTTCGTCTTCAAAAGGTTGTGCTTGCTTTGTGAGTGTGTGGTGGGGGTTCTAGCGGATTGCAGATACAATTGCTCACTAGGAGTTGTTGCCTTCCTGAAGGCAAAATAACACTTAAAGTTGATATTTTCTCCATGATGCGACATAATCCGAAAGTGTACATGAGTATCTTCTTATTGAGGAACAGTCAATATTCGTGAATCGGTGGGAAACTCTATTCCTATTCTTACAAGAAAGCATGAACTTGTGCCTCTTAATGTTACTAAATTTACCCATGAGAAGGCATGAACTTTAAGGTGACAAAGGAGTCGGAAGGGAGCGTAGTGGCCACATTCATTCTTACCTCCAGCCTCCACCCTCCACTTTCCCTCAATGATATCTCTCTAGACTCCAAGTGATGACTTACCTTTTTTTTCTTAGTAAGGTAGTAGACAGTTACATGGTTCCACGATTAATAGACGAGGCACTATAGAAGTGTTGTAAAAACGGTGGGTAGAGACCGGTTTATGGTTCCTGAAGATAAAACATGTGACTAGAGTGGGATTTACACCTCTTTGGGAAAGGACTTCATAATGTGGTGGGCCTTATTTGAATGCATAAATGCTTGAGGGGGCTTTTCGTAATGAAGAACTGCGTGGACGTATTTGATTATTTGATGTAAAATCAGAATGTACTCAACCATAAACAATGGTTTCATGGGCCCAGGTAGACCACAAGTTGACTTGATTTAAGTATAGCGACACGAATCCTGCCTCATGCCTGGGCACGAAATGCTCAGCTGATAGGTTCTGTCAGTGGATGAAATTGCACACAGAAAATTTGCATAAGACTTGCTTTAACCTTAAAAATAGACCAATCAAATGTTTCAGTTCCTGATATTCATCCTGCTCCATTATTTGTCTTTTCCTTACCCCTTTTTCAGCTGCATATAGTTTGATTTTTACAATGCCCGTTGGCTGTTTTCCTTCATTTCGACGGAAGATAAAGAGTAAGTTCCCTCCACAGTCGTAAGACGTGATGGTCGACCGATAGAATGAGATTAGCTAAAAAAAATAAAACTCCAAGTCATATTTAAATTGATAAATAGTAGTAGTAACTTTACAAATGTATGTAAAGGATTTTTCGGCTGATTTAATTTGTAGCTAAGTGGACATTTGATTCATCCAGGTTAGTTGTAATCCACTAAAATAAGGGTAAGAGAATAGTAAGATGTTGTCTATTCCTAGAGTTTAATAAGGGAAAAGCTCCCTTGTCCAGGAAGGAAGAAGCTAAGAACGATATTTCACGAAAAAGTGCCAAACCGACTGAGGTAAATAATCATGCAGAGGCAAAAGCGGAAAGTTCTGCCAGCGTAGAACAGCAAGTTGAAGTAGCCCTGCAACGACAAGAGGAAGGGAAGGGGGCACAAAATATCGACCAAAAAACTTTCGAGCAGGTGGCAGAAGTTCATCAGCCTATTGAATGTGTAGCCAACGAACTTGTCACATTTTCTGAACCTACAGAACATAATAAAGAGATCAATGAATCGTATAAATGCGAGACCGCTTCACCAGGGGCGACAATAATGGAATATGAGGGAGCACGGGAAACAGCCCCAAATGCAGAGATTGAATATCCTTGTGAAGCTCCTCCAACAACAGGGCTTATAGTGAAAGATATGGAAGTCGGGGAATCTGCTGTTCTTC